CCACTAAGATATACTTGTTCCTCCGCCGAGGGGTGTGTGGCATAGGACCCATTATATCCATTGCCACCCTTTGGAACGCCTCCCGTATGACAGGCAAGGGACTCAGCAGAGCCTTCTGGGGTCCCACCGGTTTCTTCCTCTCCTGATACACCGCACAAGTCCTACAATAATCCCTCACATCATTCTGTATCTCTGGCCAGTAGAAATTCCTCCTCAGCCTGTCATAAATCCTTTGTATCCCCAAGTGACCAGCGAAGGGACTATCCCGTGCTACCTGCACTAATTCCCCCTGGTGTTGGCTGGGTACAACCAACTGTTATGCTTATAAGAAGCACGCAGGATCTTTTTAGGGGAAAAGCCAATACGCCACGTTTATTGAAGATACAACAATTAGCATATGCATTCAATCACACCACACACACACACTGTCACACCAGTCAATGTTATAGTTACCAGTCCAGAGTCCGGATCTAGTGGCCAGCTAGGCCAGCTAGGTAGGGAGGAGCCGGGTTCCGTCATTTGCGACATGATGCTCCAAGGAAGTCTTGGGAGAACGAACCCAAAGTTTCATGGCAAGGCACCCTGTTTATATAGTGATTTTTCTTCATTGGGACCAATGAGTTTTGCACCATCATGCTGTAATCAATTGTTGTTTGACGAATGCTTGTTTTCTTAAATTGTCCTTCTTATTCTTTACATTAAGTTCCTCAGGGAGTTATTCCATGCTGGTTTTGATTACCGCTATTTTGCCCCATTGATAGGTGCCTGTCTCATCTTTAGAGTCGTCAATCTGCCCTCCTCTGATGCTTCAATAGGGGCATGTTGCAGCCACCTGGCGCCCTTGCGTCTGTCTCTGGTTCCTCCCTTGTACATCTGGTTCAGCTACGGCCTTCACACTTATCTCTTAACACAAACATTCCTTATTCACACACAAAACAGAATTAATTTACACAGAACATTTTGAACAGGAACATCAAATTGCAATGCAAAAGAAAACAATCATGGCATTCTTTTACTTATTTTAAAATGCTAAACCTACAACAAATTGGTGACCCTCAAAGGTCTGTTACTGCTTTGGAATCAGTCCAGACACAGATTCTGGCTGATGTATCTCTACCCATTAGGCCCCATTAGGTCATTCCCTTTCTGTTATTCTT